ACTGATCTCTCACTTCCAACGTATTTTTAAAGAAAATATATTTAATAATTGTTCTTTTATATTTAATATTAATAGTATAATAATTAATAAATAATTAACATATTAAACTTTTTTTAATATATTTTAATATAAGTAATAACTTATATTGTAATATCATGGTCGAAGTATAAATAAACACTGTCCGTGAAAAATTACTCCACGGACAAAGTATAATAATCATATACGGCCGTGTAATTATTATGCAAATTCATTTGTAGAGGTAAGTATTATCTAAAAATTAAATTAGCCAACCAGAAATTAATGATGATAAAAAATTACATACTTGTTTTTAAGCGTTCCAAGTACCGATACTTGAAGCTTTTTTCTGCATGTCCTAATGTTTGATATTTTTCCCCATGGAATTCGTCGTTACTTCGAATTTTCACCAATATTATCAGTTCGTAGTCATAGTGACATATTAACACTTTTTAAAACAATTTCCAACTGTAAAATAGATTTCTTTTTCCAATCAGCGTAGTTTGCCTTTTCCATCCTAATTTTCCTATAAACAGCTATTTTTACTTTGGACTATACATTAACTTCCATTGTAATGTCCTATAAAAAAAACGTAATTCAGTCTCTATATTCACTTAGAGCTTTTTATTTTCCAAATTGTTCAATATGTGTTCCACAAGAGTCAAAAGTTCCCTAGTGATGTCGTTTTGTTCTTCCATCATGACAATTAAATGTTTTGTGTTGTCGTTTAGGAGTGAGTATATATTCGTGGCTATGAGTAACGTAAATTTGAGCTTATAAGACGAATAGTCAAAGCTTTTGATGAACTTGTTTCTATAAAATTGAGGATTTAGTGAAAAAAAAAAAGAAAGAAAGAAAGATAAAGAAAAATTGAATCACAAAAAAAATATCCGGGAGCTTTGATACGGATTCCTTGTTAAATGCATATAACTAAACATTTCTAATCAAGCTACATGTTATTCTATATTAGGTGGACATTGATTTCTATTAATATAGCCTCCTTCCTGCTCTTCACTAATAACGTTAGAAAGCATTTACTTAAAATCGAGAATGTAACAGACTAAGCGTTAAAATATAATATCTGAGATTTCTGGTTGGCGGATATTCATTCCCCTTTTAATAAGCCGGGTGATTGTCAAGAGATTTATAAAAAGAATTTCACCAGCGTTAACTTAACACTATAGGGTTTCTAGTCCTTGCGAAAAGTATATAGCTCGGCAAATGCGGGATGAGCCAGATTTGTTTAATTCTTTTTCAACCATATTTTGAAGATAATTGTATTCTTCATCTGATTTTAGAATACCTTATTCTCCAATATTTGATCAGGAAGTCGTTTAACACAAGTGTGCTTGTTTCTTCGTATTTTTTTTTAATCTTTTTGTCAAACCAGCTTCGCATTATATTTTTGTACGAATTCGGTGTGGTTACAAGCAGAGTATAAGCGAATATTAGGCTGTATAAGTTTACCATTTAGCATTCGATGGGAGAGATAAGATATTAAATCTGTTGATTTCATCAAGGAATAAGCAATTTTGTTCTTTTCAAGCATCATAATAATTTCTTCAAAAAATAAGATCAAATTATGAGATTGTGATACAAGTCATCACTGTGTCAATATTCCTTGTATAGCAAAAAAGTTTTGGTGTGTCCACTTTTTAATCTGCTTTCGAGTAAAAATAAAGCATGACTCCGGTAGGCACCAGTAATATCATCCCGATAACGTTTGTTATAAATCTCGATCTCGATCAACAAACGACTTGAAGATTTGTTAACCAATGTGATATCATTCAAAAGAACTTCACTAGAGAATACTCGTCATGATATAATTGAATTAACCTATACATATTAACAAATTAATTAAATAGTTTCGAAAATATAAATAATTATATTATTTAAAATTTACCTTGGAAAATTTAAAAGTTTTATCTCCATTAATATAATTACTAATCAACCTCTTCAATAAATTTGAAGAAATAGAAGTTGTAAAAGTTGAGTGAGCTAATGTATCATATGGAATATTAATATTATGAAAAGAACCTTTTTAACGAGACAAAACTATTTTTTTTTGCTCCCGTTAATCATGGTTGAAAAAAAAATCTTTCCACCATTAAAATTAGTGCTCGTTACTTTAGTTGGATATATTTTAAATATAAAATTAAAAAAAAAAATCTAAATCATTATCGGTCATTAATTAATTTATTCATTTAATAGAAATTAAATAATTGTAACTTCTTATGAGAATGTCGTTTTGAGATAGTACGAACCTGGGCTAGTGGGATCTAAGTACATATAAATTTTAAACTAAGATTTGAAATTATTACGTCATTTTGATTTCCTTAAATGGGCCGCGGATTGGATGATTTTGCTAAGTACCAGAATACGTAATATAAACATTGATCACGGAATGATGTCATTTCTGACCTTGCATGGGCACGTGATTTTCTGGATAAAAATGTACGTGTAAACAGTTCTGGTTTATTTATTTCCCTCCCTCTTGAGTTTTTGACAAAATCAGTTCGTAGAAGAAAAACAAAATTTCTAAATCGACCTGTCAACCAACGCGACTTTTCGTGTTTGTTTTAAAAAAGTCCTTCCTACACAACTCGGTTGTTTATTCAAAAGCATAAAGATCTCCTTTATTGTGGACGAGAGTGGTTTAGTATTAGTCGGTATCATGAACCCTTTGAATGACAAGCAACTTGAAGTTTCGAGCTATTATTTCAGGTGGGTGTCATTTGAATTTGTCACTTGTCTGTTATTAACTTTGTGGGGTCTAGGGGTACACAGTAAAAGCACTGTCATGTCCTAAGTCTTGGTGGTGTTTCTTGGTGGGATTATCCTCTTGAGACTGTGTATTCCTATGTGCCCAATTTCTCTGAAGCACGAGAGTAAGCCTTAGCAGGATAATACTATTCCTATGCATCTGTTTGGGATGTCAGACTCTCTTTTGATTGAATCTGGTCTGACCCTCCACCACCTTCTCTTTTTTTTTATTTTATCACTTAGAACATTTTGTTGGTTTCGTCCATTAGAAATTTAACCATAAATTTAGCGGAGTCACTAGTTTCGATATTTAAGTGCAAAAAAATATACAAACGTTAAAAGTATCAACAATATAGAATTACTGATTAATTTATTTAGTCATGATATACAAGAAATGGAAAAGTCGAGCGATGATGGGGAGCGTCACAAACCTTGAGGATATGTTCAAAGCAACGGCGTTTACGTGTCAAGTTTAGATATATAGGGCTCGTTGGAAAAAAATTGGTTAGAATGAGTCATCGACTATGATCGAATTTACGATTGCAGTCTAATAATCGATTCGGATTTTCACGTTCGTGTAAGTTGACTCCAGAAAAGTTTCGAATTATTTAACCCTGTAAAGAAATTTATCCTTAATACTTATTTTTGAATTATCCCTATATCGATAATGAGTTCTTAAATTAATACTGTTATTCTGTGTATTAAAATACGCAAAAAAAAAAAAAATTATCTGAAACTAAACACAAATCTCAGTTAGGAATATTTAAGAGCTCAACTAATTTCCGGAGCGTAACACTGACGGAAATGTGTCAAATTTATTAAAATTTAGGCGATTTCGTCGAGGGAAACGTTATCTTAACGTTATGGATTTTGGTCCTCTCCAAAACAATTCAATAGTTATAAATCGCATGAAACACGAGAAATAAATAAGTTCGGAATGTTCTATAATTGTAAAGTCCCTTTAACCCATTAGAGTTGACAAAGATAAAGCGATTTTGTTACTAAAAAAAGTACGTCATATAGAAAATTCAATCTGCGCATATACTGCGCACAAACAATAACCGACAAATATATAAACCAACCAAGGCTGAAAATTGCTAATCAAAAAACATGCCGTGACAAAAATGTCATTTTTGATGCAAAAGTCTTGAATTATTTTTCAAAAATAGTGACCATGTTAGAGCGTCATTTTGAAAATTTTTTTTAAGAAATGCTTTTACGGAATCTTTTTAAAATTTATTTTTAGTGACGATTTTTTTTTTATAAAAAAAAAAATTTGTATTTTTTTAAAATTTATTTTACTACCGAGATGACGGGTTTTTTTAAAAATAAAAATTTATTTTACTGCGGAGGCGATGAATTATTTTAAAAATTATTTTACTGCCGACGAATTTTTTTTTAAAAAGCAATTTAATAATTTAATATAGAAGCATCGAATTAAAAAAAAAATTTTTAAATTTATTTTACTACGGAAAGTTATGAATTTTTTTAAAATTTATTTTTTAAATTTTTTTACTAGATATAACGAGGTTTTTTCTTTTAAAAAAAAAAATCTTTTAAAATGATTTATTTTTAAATTAACGAATCTTTTAATTTTTTTAACATGAAGGACGATTCGGTTTGAAACCTGTTCACAAAAAAAAGAGGCCTGATTTTAATGATTAGTTTTATTTGTTCAATGATTTCCTAATTATAAATTATATTCTTATACTTGATTTGGCTTATTATTTGGATTTGAATTTTGTGACGTAATTGTCGGTCTCTCTGAATTTGTAATAATTCTTGATTAAGGTATACCTTTTGTGAGATTTTTAAATCAACAGATTTCTGGAAACAGTTTGTTTCAAACATGCCTTGAATCGATGAGTCAAGTGCATTTTACAATAATACAAATAATTTTTATAATTAGATGATATCATAAAATAACAATTCCTATTTCTTTTATCGAATCGAATTCACTGATTAATGAATTATATTGACGTTTTTGTAATGCGAGTAAGTCCTAATAAGGGTCAGGTTGCCTTATTTGCATAAAGAATTGTGCTCGTAAATATTAATATTTCAATTTAATTAATTGTTTTGACACGAAAAATTATTGTTTATATACATAACCTTCCTCATCCGGATAAACTTTTTTTGGTCTATAATCGATTTAAATTATTTTTAAATAAAAATCCAATTTTTCTTTTTTTCTATTTTTTAAATGTTCATTGTGCCGAAACAAATACATTCAGTGCATCCAGTGTTCTTGATTTTGCGTTTACAGTTTACATGCGAGGATTTCCTTTTTTAAAAAACATAGAATAAAAGAAAACAAACATGACAAACAAAAGTTCGATTCGTCGTTGATAATGCAGCGGCAGCATCAACTCACTGCAGCCACTTTCTCTCCTTGACTATCTCTACTACTTCACCAACAATCACTGAAAATCAAGTGTAGCAAAAAGGCTGGATGAAGCTAAAACATCAATAAACAATCAAGAACATTTATTAAATAAAGAGAAAGAAAGTCCGGTGGTTAAAAAAAATTGTTCGAGAAAATTATAGACAATTATTCCGATTTTAAACCTTACCAAAGAGTGCCAAATGTAAACATTTTATTTCGAAAAGACGTTTCCAAAGGAATAAATCTGCTAAATCGAAATGGTATGATTGCATAACATATTCTTCTAAATTTGTTGGATATTTATGGAAAGCAATGAAATCATCCCAAACACAAACAAAATGAGCATGCATTTTATAAAATTAAGAGATATTTAATAATACATGAAAGAAGTAGTTATATAAATTTTAAATACTGCTGCGCCACACAGTTATACCTTACGGAGAACAGTCCGACGATCTTTTTTGAGTGCAGTCATGCGAATTTTTGATGCAGGCTGAAATAAATTTTAATAAGACTCGGCCATCATCAGACTGAGCTAACCATGCAGAGTCTTGTAATGTTGATTAAAATTTTTTAGAGATGGGTAAATTGAAATAAGTCTCTTCTTAAAAGTCTTCAAGAGTTTATGTTTATTCCTATTGGTCCATTCAAGAAGTAGTGCACATCATTCTACGATTCAATCATAATAAACAATGAATTTATGTGGTAAATTGTCATTAGATTGTAGTTATTAAAAGGTCATGTAAAGTTAATCAATATTATGGATAATATTTTTAACGAATAAAGTTATAATCGCTAATTATTACATTAAATAGACATTTTAATTTACAGTTAAAATACTAACTGAAAATTGAAAGTGATTGAACTGCATGGATATACTCTGCGCCACATGAACTAGCGACGACTAATTAGGAAATTGCACATGATCCGACTGTTCTCATATTTTATATAAAAAGAGTGTATTTATTGTTTACAACATGATTCGATCGAGCCGTACAAATTGTGCTCAATTGTAACTATGATTTGATTTGTTACTTTTTTTTCCGATCCGAACGATCCGATCCAGAATTAAACAGGGCTATTATTCGATAACATTTAGTCTATTAGGAAATATTAAAGAAATTACTCATCGTATTGTAGAAAAATTTAATGTAAACACATGGCCCTTTTGGAAGTTTAATTGTTTTTATTTAGTATGTTATGCCAAATTATCCAAAAAGACGGCTCAGATTCGTCCATGAGAGGATTTAAACATCCGAAATATATAAATAAAAAAGTGAAAATTTGTCGGTATAAAAAAAAAAATTTGATCGTCGACATTAGTGACTAAAAATGATAGTCCCGACTCGAGAAAAAATTTCGAGTCGGGTCAAACAACCCGGGCACTAGTACTAATAGTAATGTAACTCGCCGAAAAGCGATGAATATAGAAAGGAAACTTGTAAGGATTGTGAAATATTCCTTTCAAACGTTAGTAATTTTCATTATATGAGGGAATTTATGTTGGTTAGAAAATTATTTATCAAGTATATCGAACACAAATAATATTTAATAGTTATTCGGCACGAAGTGCCGAATAACTATTATATTGGGAAAATCAAATTTGATTGGTTGATTTGGGGTTCCGCAGGAGCCCCAAATCACAAATCAAATTTGATTCCCAATATTATTAGCTACCTTGTAGGTAGCGGTAGTTATTCGGCTCGAAGTGCCGGATAAGT